CTAACGCGAATTCATAACCAATTGAGAGTTTACGAAAGTTTAGAATAAAAATACCCTACCATGGGCGTCCTGTTAGAAAGAAATAGCTGAAGTTTGAAAACAACATATTTGGGTTTTCAGTGTCAACTAGGAAAAATAGCATATTTTGTTTTCACATTCTTATATCACAATACTGATGATAAGTGATACATATTTGACATAGTGAAATAATATTTTTGTAGCTTTTATAGGTACCAAGGAAATATATGTGGCTAGAGGTGACATTTTTATTATGAAAAAAGATAATTTAAACGTGATATAAACACTATTAGCTAAAAAAATCAATAGTTCGTCATAATGAATAACAACTCTTCAGTTCCGCGTGCGTTAAAACAAAAGAATCGAATAGAATGATAGATCACCGAGCCTAAGGGTAACGGTTGTGCTTGGAAGGTAGAAATTTTTTTGACACAGGTCGCAGCCGTTGCTTTCGGTGCTTATATTTTTTATTGTAAAGAAACGACAAAAAGTAGAAAGCAGAAAAAAAGAGTAGAAAAAACAATTGGCACGAATATTGCCAGAGAAGTGACACCAGGATTATTGTATGTAATTAAAGATATTTGAATTCAAGAATTGGTATTTTTTACAGTGGCAGTAATATACTAATAAAATTCAAAAAGGTGTACTTATCAGGGTAAATACTGGAGCCACGCAAAACAGTTCCTGCCCACACTACGTCATCAACTCACTCATTCCAGGTTTCAATAAACCAAATCACGCTAGTCTTAAACTATCATTTCTTGATCTGCTACGCATTGATCAAGATCAAATCACGAAAATGTCACATTTACATAAACGTGTACAGTTTGAATTGCGTAAGGTGAGGATGACACAATTTTCAGGAACCAGTAAAAAAGTGTTTTTTATTATTATATTGTTTGTAGTGAAAGTCGGGAATGGAGCAGGCCGGTGGAAACTTTTTGTTAATTTTCAATCATATTGTGCCTAAATCCTACAAGCCTCTCCAAACTCACGCGAGCAAGCGAGAAAATATGAGAAATGTAAATGTGGAGCCGATTTTCATAATCTTTGCAGGTTCTCGGCTTGCTCTCAAATTTTTGTCGGTTTTTTGGCGCGAGACAAAAGAGCTGTAAACGCGAAAGCAGGCGACAACTTGTATTGACTCCACACTCGCATGCTTCGCAGTGACAGGTGACGCGCCGGTCAGAACAGTTGTGCGTGGTATTTACTAAGCAGAATCCATTTTTGAAATAGAAATTTAAAAGAATATAAAAATAAACTAGAAGCCCACGATGCGTGGAAACGTATGAGTACCTTGACGGAATTACCCACTGAAGAATTAAAAATAAAAAAAAGTTATTAGCCAGCTACAGAGGGTATAAAAATAAAGTCAAGAAATCGGAAAAATCTGGTGCTGGTGTCATCGTCATCGAGTACGAGAACTGTATTGAGAACCTTGCGAGTGTGGACCCAAAGAAGTTCTCGCCGAATTCTTGCTGAGATTATCGGCGACATTCTCGCGTGTGAGTGTGGAGCGGCTTTAAAGGTTACCTTAATTTCATCATATTTATGTTCCTGATAACGCATGATATTTTACAGTTTTTGGATGGTTTATTACAACGATTTGTCGATATGATTAAGATTTTTTTGAAGAACCAATGAAATCCCAAATAAGGTAATATAGTCACCCTTATATCACTCGGACTCCTGTGACATTCGCCGGCGGAATGGCACCTTAACATTTAGGAGACATGTTAAGGTTTCCTGAATGAACTCTGACCCTCGGAAATGTTTATCAGTCAAAGTGAATAATCATCCTCGAGGACGCTAGAATTTGGCGATATGAAACCTGTATTTGTTTTGACATGTAAACAGGTGACAGTGATACAAGCATTATTTTTATTTATAATCCACTATTAATAGTTGTGTGACATTCTTTTTAATCATCGCATGTTCTATATTAACCTTATCTGTCGAAGGAAGGAATTAATAAAATTCTCTTTATTATATTTGAATCCATGAGCTGCACTGTACTGTTTTTCTTTTCAGAAACAATCTTTACAAAATAAAGTGCATGAGCCATTACAGAATAAGACTTTCAGATACAGATGCAAATTAAGAACCTACTAATTATCATATATTATAGAATCATGGAGAAGATAAGATAAATACTCAGGCATGTTGGGAATGGATATGCTCTACAAACAGTATATAGGTACAGCAAGGACTAGAGCATTACCAGCACAGTGTAGAGTGATATACAGGGTGTCCCACAAGTCGAAGTCAAGCCGGAAACGGGGGTAGGGCAAGTCATAATAAGTATCAGAAAAATATAAAAACATCTAAGTTCAGTATTTCAATACGTGAAATTTGTAGTAACGCGAATAATATAAATAATACAGGGTGGCGCAGAGGAAACGCATGTCTTCTGACCGAATGGTATTTCGCACAGAATAGGGATATGACCTCGCCGCACCGCCAGCAGAGAACACATACGATGCAGTTTCAGCCATGGCACCGTGGATGACGGAGCATCGTGTGTTTGCCGTCGAGCAATTTTTTCGAAACGATGATTCTGTAGTGATCGTGCAACGTTTATTCCGTCGACAGTTCAATGTTGAACGCCACGGGCCAATTCCAGATCGAAACACAATACTCCGATGGGTTGAAGCATTTCGAAGTACTGGATCCGTAATGAAGAGGAAGCCACCTGGCCTTCCCCGTACTGTGCGGACTCCAGGCAATATCGAAACAGTGAGAAGAGCGGTCCTTGATAGTCCCCAACGGTCCACTAGGCGCCAAGCTCCAACTCTGCGTATGTCCCGTCGGTCGTTACAACGCATTCTGCATGACGATTTACAATATCATCCGTACAAGATAATGATCGTGCAAGAGCTAACGGAAAGCGATTTTGCACAGCGTAGAGAATTTTGTGCGAGAATGCGGGCCATTTTTGCTGACGATCCTGACGTCGTCATAATGATGAGTGACGAAGCACACTTCCATTTAACAGGATATGTAAACAAGCAGAACTGTAGGTATTGGGCGGCCGAAAATCCACGAGAGCTACACCAACGACCCTTGCATAGTCAAAAATTAACTGTGTGGTGCGGAATCAGTAAATTAGGTATCGTTGGTCCTTACTTTGTTGAAGAGGAAGAAAGAGCAGTAACAGTTACTTCAGCACGTTATGTTCACATGTTACAAAATTTTCTGTTACCCGAACTTCAACGGCAACAAGTAAACATGGGAGAGCTGTGGTTCCAACAAGACGGTGCCACAGCTCACACAGCGAGAGCATCAATGGAATGGATTCGACAGATGTTTCCTGAACATGTGATTTCCCGTTTCGGCGATGTCCCTTGGCCCCCACGCTCCCCAGATTTGTCCGCATGCGACTTCTTTTTGTGGGGTTACCGTAAGGATAAAGTGTACCCTCACAAGCCTTGTACGTTACAGGAACTGAAAATTGCTATTCGTCAAGAAATTGCAAGAATACCACAAGAAATGATTTTACGTGTAATGCACAACTTTCAAGAGCGGTTGGAGATGTGCGAGCGCGAGGCAGAGCGACACTTGAGTGACGTTATTTACCATCATTAGTTTAAAAGTGCACTATCATTACTTTATTTAGCTGTAACTGAAACAAAGTTATCTTGAAAATAAAAAATGTTATGCTTAGGTGAAAATCGTGCGTTTCCTCTGCGCCACCCTGTATAAAGCATCACAGGGGGGGTAGATTTTTCCGATTCTGTTAAAGGCTATAATTTGAAAAGTACGCGACTGAGATTTTTCTTGTATTTTTCTGGTAACTATTATGACTTGACCTATCACCCATTTCACCCTTGATGTCGACTTCTGAGATATATATAAGAAAAGTGACTCATATATTGGCATACTGTTGCATCCAGCATCTATCAGCTAATCACTATTAGGTTCTTACTAACAATGAATTTCTGATAGTCCATTTGAAGCAGACCAGATCAGTTCAGCTTGTAACTAGGAAAAATCATATAATTAATTTGTTTGGATGACTGTATCTCAGAAATTCCTGGTTGGAAATAACCATATATAAGTTTGCAGATACTGGTGCATTACAGGGCGAATTTTCATTCACCAAACTTGTAATACCAATAACATTTTAGTTGCTTTGTATTATTTGCTATTTTTGTGTGTCATAGTCACCATACAGGTTGCTATACAAATTGTGACCAAATACTGTAATAATAGGAATTTAGTTATTGTATTTACACTTTCATTACACTCAGTATATTGTTATTAATTCTACGATTAATGCACAGCTGAGTAATATTTCCTTGCACATACATATTAAACAGCCAATACAAATAATTTTGTGCAAATAGTTAAGATTAAAAACAAGATTACCAAAAACTATTTAATACATTTTCGTGCAGCAAAATTCAGCTTTTTATCATTGTTCATGCAACAAGCTAATGGATATTGTGAATCCATAATTATGTTTTCATTTCATTCATATCTATATAAAAAATGAAAAATAGGATTATCATTAAAAAATATTCAGAACAACTGTTGGAATCCCATTTTTCTCAAACTTTTATATACCCTTTAACCAGCCTAGTAAATGTGTTCCTCATTTCTTCCAGGGCTTATACCTCTCACATTTGTACCTCTCTAGCAACTTGACCATAACATAAACAAAGCAGATCCCTTCAATGGGTCCAAATATTATCCTGTCACAAAACTCTGTGGTTATAGTTAGTGACAAAATAGAAAGTGAACCAAGCATTTATAATTTACATAAAATCACTTAGTACAACAGTGAGAGTGTAAAAAGTTCATCCTGCAGATATTAAAAAAATCCAAGACTAAATTGGGAAAACAAATGAAGATCACAAATAATAAGCATGGAAATAAAGATTTGTTGAATTCAGGGCATGTTGTGGCATATCTATCCTAGCTGCTACAATGGCAAATAGTTAATTCCAGTAAAAAAAAAATAACAGACTAAATGAACTCACCTAAATGTTCAACTCTATTCCATGAAGTGCAGAACACAATACAGTTCGTTGTCGAATACCTTTGGCTAGAGATATCGACAAAACGGAATGAAAGGGTCTATTGGAAGGCACTTTTCTTTCGATGGAAATCTACGTATAGCTTTCCTCGAAAACACGGTCACTTATTTTCGACACGTAAAGTCAATTATTTGTGGAAAAGACACTGGTGAATGTCTTAAATGAACACGTTTCAATAATTTCTTCGAGATGCAGTTCACGTTTTCGGAAATGTTCTGGAGACTTGTCACAAGCACACGTGTTCTTAACAAAAGAGGAAGGGACACCTAGTTTGAGGTTGAAGAACGGGGACCAGGCAACTTGTTACTAGGAATGTCCCAGTGCATTTCTAACAGCGACGATTGCGGAACTACCGAAACCTGCAATGTGCAAAACAAATCTGAGAAGTTTTGACAGTTATACTCACAACAATTAATGGATGTGACGTAAGAGATGTCAAGAAACAGGGCTGCCAACGCCACCTATCCACGTTATTTCCCTTGAATTATTATAGCTCCATCATTTTAAATAGTAAGCTACAAATGGACTCGTGTTCTGTCTCTGCATAACTTGTGGATTTTGGAGGTACGGCGATTGAACAAAGTAGAGCAGCGGTCGTATCGACGATCGAAAATCAAGTAGAGGGAAGGCTGCATTCTTAATTGGAGCTTTTGGTCATCGAAGATATAGGGACCGCACTTGTCATATCAAATGGTTGATTTTATTGTGTACATTGCATAAAAAAATGTTCGGTCTGTTTATTTCAGATTCAAAGCAGGCAGCTAAGTTCATCAAGAAGCTTAATGCGGGTCCCACACGATGCTTCCAACATTGTTTACAACGTTGTATACAACAATTGGCAAGTGCGTCTCCTACACCCTACACGATGGGATAAACTTCTTAGTCTCGGACGTTCAACGCATGGTGGTGCCAACGTCTATTATGGGTGTCAGTGTCGCGCTTGAACCTTTACAACTGAAGGAACAATTATACAAAATAAACGATGAAAAAATTTTTTCAAGCGTCGAAAAATAATTTCAGATCTGTCGTCAGCGAACAAAACTTAAGTCTGTCAGAAGTCTCAAAAATGTCGAAAAAGTTTGGCCGTTTTTTGTTTGTTTTCCGACGATAGCTCCACCGCCACTTTAACAATTTTCAACAACTGCAGAACTTTTTCTTCATTTTCGTAGTAGTAACCTAGGGTGAAAATTTCATCAAAATCGTGATAGTGTACTTTCATTTATTTAATCTTTTTCGTTAGTTATGAAATGGAAGTCAATATATTTCTCAACTAGTCTTATATTGCAACAGGACATTATAATGAAACAACTGCGAAACTATGCCATGTATACTAATTTAATCCATTCTGCTCAAAAGTCAGTAACGGAACATACATTATTATGATTAGCTGGGTATTCGAATCAAAATACTTCCCACATACTACTACTTAAATCTCGTGTGGGAGCGTAACGAACCATGCTTCCAACGTTGTAACGTCCTTTGAAGCGGGTCAAATTTACCGACAAGAGCCCAAACGTGCCATGTGACGAACGTTGGACACATGCAATGCGTCAGCGCACTCCTACACGATGTGGCGAATGGCCATGTGTCCAACGATGTAAGGCATTCGCCATATGTTGTGGGAGCGGTTTAAAGCAAACATTTTGCGTAATATGCGCCATCTAACCACTCCTGGTGTAACTTGAAACTGTCGAAACTTCGAGAGCAAGAAGAAATTGGAAATTCCATCTCTTTTCAATTTGACATATGACACAGAACTTAAAACGTCAGAAACTATGAATGAACCGTTTTCCAATTATTCGTTATTTGCAGAATAAAAATACTGGACTATAAAATTTTTCTGCCAATCTAGTTAACTTAAATAACACTAGATTCGCCATTGTCATTTCCCCCACCTTTGACGGTTGACCGTTGAGTTACAGATTGTCATGCGAGTTTTGACGTTTAAATCCTAACCTTGTTCAACTGTATTTTGAAAGTACTTATAATGAAATCCTACAGCAATAGCATTAATACTTAAAAGTAAAAATTGTCATTGGACAGTTCGCGGCTCAGACATTTACTTTGGAATGAATTCAGTGTAACGAGGCAAATATTACCATTTTTGCCACCTCGGCTTTCTGTTATGAACAAGCTTGTATCTGGCCTTTTTGAATCTGTAGCTTATGTAATAAAGTACGGATGCTTAGTGCACTGTACTTTCGAACATGTTGCTGATTTCGTAATGGTATGCTCTTCCAAAATTCATCACTTTAAGATTATTATTACATATCTTTTAGTGTTCAGGTCCCTCTATGGAACCCACAATTCATTCAGATGATATCCTATTAACAGAACACATCTCACCAGTAAGGGGCAAAATAAGCAGGGGAGACATTATTATAGCAAAGTGCCCTACCAATCCTAAACAGCAAATTTGTAAAAGGGTTGTTGGAATGCCTGGAGATAGGGTTTGTATAACATATTGATTATACCTGAATACATCTCTGAATGCACTTTTTACTGCTATAACATTTTCAAGCTAGTTAGTTTGCTGAATGGGATGATAATTTCAGGTAAGAACTGGCATTGCTTCATGGCAGATAGTTCCTATAGGCCATGTATGGTTAGAAGGTGATAATTCTAGAAATTCTACAGATAGTAGGGTGTATGGGGCTGTACCTCAGGGACTCATAAGAAGTAGGGCAGTCTGTAGAGTCTGGCCTCTTGAAAGTGTACAATTTCTTACAAATGATAGGTGAACATTTTTTTATTTTGAATATGGGATGTGCTGTGTAACAGTGTGTCATGTCAATATATTTTATTTTAAATATAGTTGTTTGAATATTCCAAAAACAACATAGATCAGTATTTGGTATTTGATTATCTACATGGGGCAGTTTACTGTATATTTATTAAAAGTAGTTTTGCAATTTGATATTTTTCCAGTGTATTCAAAAGCATACAACGTGTAACACTGGTCGCCTGCAATCACATGTTTGTATTGTTTTGTGTCTAATGTCGTGTATGAAGATCCTGCCTCAATCTGTCATTTGGTCAACAATGTTGCCAGTGAAAAATGAATGTTGGAATTCTTATAGGGTGATTCTATCATAAAGCACAAGGTACTTACAGCAACAAAAAGATAAGGCATTCACAAGATTCAGGTTGGAAATTTGTATGATCTCATAATAAAAAGAATGTCTTACCTAATATTTTTTAAGAGAAGTGTTTCATGTTAAATTAATTAGGTTTTGTTTATTCGAAATGTGAAGTTTTTCGATAGAGTCGGTGACAGGTGACTGGTGTAATTTCAACGAGATCAATCAGTATGAAGACGAAAATTTTGCTATCTTCATTCAGTTGCTAAGCTAAACATTATCATGAATGTCTATGAACTTGAGCTCGTTTTACTAGGTGGCTGGAGGGAGCTGCCGAATGCTTTGCGCAATAAGATGTATACAAGGACAAAATGGCAAATCCTAGTGATACTAAATAAAACAAAAGTAAAATATAGATTTAGATCTATCTATGTACAGTACTCTTCAAAAGGGTCCCAACTACTAAATTTTTGGACAGGTCAAGCTGGCAAGCCAAATTTGGCGTGAAGAATACTATAGTTAACATCCTGTATAGTGTAGTAGAACACATACAGCTATGCAGTGTCAATTTTGATATTTTTGAGTTGTGTGTCAATGCTGTCAGGTAGCAGGTTAGGTATTTTGTCAGTCATATCCTATTTCACGAGTATCCATCACGCTTTCACGTCTACTGAGGTGAACACGTGAACAGCTGACCGGCAAGTGACATTTTGTATTAGTCTGCGACGTTGGCAATAATGCATCGGGTGTAAATCTAGTAAAACTGGTTTGTTTTTTTAAAAATTTACAAATGAACTTTTCTAAATAAAAGAGCTTTTAGCAACTACAAAATGAATCTGTAACGTACAAAAAACCAAAACAGTATACTTATGGCATTGACGGATCGGACAGAATTGTGTGCTTTGACAATATCGGGAATTTCGAACAATTACTAGACAATCAGCTATCATGCTACCGTGAAATACACCTGAAATAGGGTATAGATGCGCTGAAGATTAGTCTGCGCAACTGCCAAGAACGGTGGTTAACTGACTACAACTATAGTATTGTGTTCAGTATCCGGAAGCAGCAGCAGCAAAATAATGCAGCTTGGCAACATCGCAAACCAAATGACAGATCATATTGCTCTCGTTTTCCTTTAATAGCGTCAAATTGCCCTGCGTCGGCGTCAATGCGTCAATCGTCATTCGTTTGTTTTATCGCATAGCTTGTTTTGTGCTTTGTGTGGGGACGGTGTGACTGGGATCGCGATCTGTGATAAAAGATTTCTAAGTTCGCCGACAACCGTTCCCCGCGGTCCCCGGACGTTGCGAGTCGATAGTTTATCACTGAAAAACATTAGGAAAACCATCCCCCTTTACCAGTGATCCAGAAAAATTCAAAATGCTTTAAATTCGGCAAGAAAACTCCCTCTCTCTGTGTGCGTGTAAGAAAAGTGCCCCCTTCGACGATGCTTTCGAGTAAAACCAAGCATTTTCTGCACTGCGTGCTGTTTTTCACTGTGATTATTTTATTCGAAGTATTCGCTGGGGGCATAAAAGTTCTAAATGGAGGCGCTTTTGTCCCAGACGCCGACGACTTCAACCCTTGGTTACATTACGGACTTTTGGGAGCTTCAGTTCTGTACTTCCTGAGGCTCATTACCTTCCTTCCACTGCCTCAAGTACTGTTTAATTTTGTGGGACTCACGTTTTACAATGCGTTCCCTGATAAAGTGGTGTTAAAAGGATCTCCACTTTTGGCGCCTTTTATTTGTATCAGGGTTGTAACTAGAGGGGATTTTCCAAAGCTGGTGAAAGACAATGTCAATAGGAATATGAACAAATGCTTGGATGCAGGCCTGGAGAATTTTCTCATTGAAGTTGTGTCTGACAAACCTATTGGGCTAGACCATCACAGACGGATAAGAGAAGTTGTGGTTCCAAGTGACTACCATACAAAAAGTGGGGCTCTGTTCAAAGCTAGAGCTTTACAGTATTGTCTAGAAGACAAAGTAAATATTCTGAATGATAATGACTGGGTGGTACACTTGGATGAAGAAACTTTATTAACTGAAAACTCAGTGAAAGGCATTTTAAACTTTGTGATGGATGGGAAGCATCAATTTGGACAAGGGTTGATAACATATGCCAATGAGGAGGTAGTAAATTGGTTCACCACTTTAGCAGACAGTTTTCGAGTAACTGATGATATGGGCAAGTTGAAACTGCAGTTTCTGATGTTCCATAAGCCATTGTTTAGTTGGAAAGGATCATTTGTAGTTACACAGGTAAGCACTAACCATAGTTCTATAGTTAATTGATATGGTACTTCTTTCAGTAATGTTTGACACCTTTTAAGATGTTGCAACTTCAAGAATGTTCATTTCAAATGCCAGTAGCTATAGAATTATTTGAGTATAACTTGAGATATTTGGTTTTGGTTATGTCATTTAATAGTTGCTCAATACCCAAGACTATATCCAATGAGGTTTCCAGTGTGGCCTCTAGATAAACATTTTCTGCTGCCTTTGTGTGACTTTGCGGTATAGGTATTTTTATATCATAGAACAACAAAACATTTATCATATGTTGATACATTTATTCATAACACTATGTGTAAAAAAAGCAATACAAATGGACCTATGCTTACACTGGGGCCCTGCACACTGCTTGCATAAGGCCTCTTAAAGTTTGGGTTGTGAGAAGTTGTGCCTTTTTGCTCTCTTTTAAAAGTTATTTGTAAAACTAATGAACATGAAAAATATATTTGTATATATTTGATATGCATTATAAATTTTATATTATCAACCATAAATAATACTGCTAATAAAAGCAGAAATAAAATGTATAGTTTCATTTGCTATTTAACTACATTCTGATTTCTTGATTTTGATGCAATAATGTATGCTTTCAAATTGTCTCAAAATGTTTAAAACAATGACAGTGTTTAAACCAATTTGTTTTAAACACTGTTTTTTGTCGTTTGTGGATTGTTCAAGTTTTTTTAATTTTTTTTTAAGTTTGATTAAAATTGGTTTTATTTTGCATAGACATAGGTTAAAACACATAGGTACTAAAAAATATACTTAATTTTTTATTGATTAATCAAACATGAAACTAGGCAGCTAATACTAGTGGGGAAAAAAATGTGTTTCTTAACGAACAAGTGAACTTAATAAACTGCATTGAACTCTGATACTAGTGCACTACAAGCAGCAGAATAATCATATAATATGACTATGTATTTACTTGTATAATAATATTAAATAAGTATAAAAAATAATACATTTTTAGTTTTTACTACTTTTGATGGAACTCAAAGTAAAAAAACCTTTGAGGAAATAGGTTCGGTAGAAACATCATCATTGCCGGTATCAGAACTATCTGATATATGAACATGTATTTTGTTTTTGTAACAAACTTCCTTGGGTACTGTTGCATCTTGTAGAACTTCACTTGAAACTTATAGAGGGTAGTCTGATAAATTATTTTACATCATAAAAAGTGTGGATGTAGTACGCTTTTCATGAAATTTTTATATTAATAAAAAAATTAAAACAGAAGTAAAACAAAAAACAATTCCATTTAATTATAAAAAAACAAAAAATAACAAACAGTAAAATAAATGTTATTTGCATGGAATGAAATTGTTCTTTGTTTTACTACTGTTTTTACTTTTTGTTGTGTGTTGTCACTTAGAATTGCTTTTTATTCAACATGGAATTAGTTTTTGTTTTATTACTGTATTAATTTTTGGTTTTTTATAATTTATCATTTTTTAGCTTACTACTGTTACTTTTTGATTTATACTTATTAGGAATCGCCTTTTATTTTGCTACTGTTCTTTGTTTCAGTTTTTCGTTTTTGTGATACATTAATTGATATACATATGTATATAAATTTTCAACTTTTCATATTTTTTCCTTAATGCGGGGCCCAATCCGGCAACACCGCAGGCAAGCGTCTTTCATATATGACATATGCACATACGTCTACGTCATATGGCAGATAGATGTCGGTGGAAATAATGATGGAAAGAACAGCTAAAAATACAATGTTTTGGGAAACAAAAAAAGCGTGCTTCATCCACACTTTTTTCTTTTTAAATAATCTATCAGACTACCCTCTAAAAGTTTTAAGAGAAAAAACAGTGAAATCGGAAGTTCTACAAGACGCAACAGCACCACTTCCTTGTTTAAGTTATTATGCTTGCGCATTATATCCATATTGCAGGTTAAACATTTTGATCTTTTATTTATTTTCGAGCCAGCTCTGGCATCAGTCTCCTTAAAATATGCTGAAGATCGCAACGCGAAAAATTACCCAAAGGCAAACGGTACTTCCCCGACGTCCGCACGGTAGTTTCCGGACGTCCGCTTTTAAATTAGATGTGCTCTGATAGAGCTGGATCAAAAATAGTAATAACACTTTCAAGGAACTTCATTAACGTTGCTAGATTATATAGGGAATAGTTTTTTTAGCCAAATTTGAGTGTTTTAAACAAAAAAAGTTTTAAACAAAAAAAACATGATTTTTGTTTAAAAAAAAATATGTTTTTTTTAACCCTGAGTTTTTCCTATAAATGCATTATTTAAGTACTATTTGTACTGTTTTCATAGGCAACCTCAATTGTTTATAACATATTAATTTTGACTTTGACACATGTTTATCCCCATTTCATTTTTGTATAAAAATTAAAGTAAACTAGAAATCATAAGCTGTATAGGCAAATATGCTGGATTTTTTTTTCTATCATTTGAACATTAGTCATATATGTATAACTTACAGGAATGAAATGTAATATTAAAACATTCATAAATATGTTGGATGGATTGAGTGATTCATTCTATAATTATTGTTTTATCATTCATCATGAGTACTGATATGATCCAGCATCAGATGACACATTATAATAACAAGAAAACTGATAAGTATGGTGACTGGGATGTAAGCAGTAAAGTGATTAGAAGTAGTTGATACTTCATTTGACACATATCTAGGTATGCTTATCATGGTACCTGATACAGATATTATATCACATCACTTGCTGTATCATGTCCATAGACATTGTAGAGTCTTCCATTTTATGCAATTTTTTATATTCACAGGACAACTTATATCTACTGTATGATAAGATCAAGATAAAACAGTATTTAGCTTCAAGTTCAAAACTTTTGTGTCCAATTTGCCACTTCATAGTCAAGAAAAGCTTGAACAAACATGTGCAAAAATATCTAATTCCTACAATGTTATGAAAAGAAGAAAATAATTTTATGATCCTTCCATTTCCGATGCTGGATGTAGACGAATCAAGATAATTTTATGATATAGACTTTTTTGAATACAAATTAATCTAGACTTATCTGTGGCAAATAGTTAGAAGGGCATAAGTGACCTTTATAAAATCAGCTTGAAGCTTTTTAACCAAGGAGACTAGACGACAGGAGTGACAGGATTTTCGCCTATATGGATAATTGGCCGTTATCTGTATTATCGGCTCAAGCTCGAATTCTAGACGTGACAGGATAGACATTCAAACATTTCTACAAGCAAATTACTCCATTCACTGCTTGATGTCATGCAAATAATAACATTTACTTGACCTGTTTCGCTTGCAAGTTTAATAATGTACGAAAATGTGGAAAATTAGTAGTGTCAGGGAGTATTTTGACAAAGTTGCTGAGCAATAGTCTGAAAACATCGATAGTGTAAGTTTTGCCCTATAACAAAATCGAATTTCTCTGGGGACAATAGCGAACACCCCAAATAAAAAGTACCATCTTTCTAAATATCGCACAAACCAGTATATCAAAATGAATCCAGGTAAAACTGAGGTTAAGTGGCTGTTTATTATGCAGGTAACAAAATAATGACTCCACTACCATTAAAACATATGTATTTGTGAAAGTATTGTGATGCGTTTTTCAATGCAATATTATAAAAAAATATTACTAACTATAATAATTTATGTCAGCAGAACATTGAAATCTCAAATACCGTATACTCACCCATATCATACCAGATATATATATTTGGGACAAGCTGATGAATCATTTAAAATTTGAACGAGTGGGAAGCATCGAGTTAATCTAATCTAGTCCATTTTTTATAAACTAAAAATGTATTCATAGAACAACCTAAAAATAAACGATCGTTTTCTATAAATTACACCTGCTTAACACGGCGACAATAACCTTCATGCTTTACGTGGACGCTACAACCTAGTTAAATTCTTGGTGTTATTACATAACAAAAACTGATATAAAGTGTGTACAAATATTTACAAATCTGTTATCCAAAGTATCGTACTTGATTATGATACTCGAGACAAACGAGGGCAACCTCATAGTTTTATAATTCGATATAGCATCTGAAAGCTCGCTCTACGGTAGGTTACCACAGTTACTATGTAACAGGCATCGTAGGGACGTAGGGAGTGTAAATCAGTATAAGAGGCAACTCTGGCTCGGCGCTGCCCCTCTGGCGATATACTATTTGGGAAAGAGAGTGTTAAAGGGTCGGGTCTCGTCGCTACGTAGGCAGTAGATGGCCAGTATTGTCATTCAGATCCTCTCTGATTCTTGAGTTGTATAGTGTTAACGATGACAATGCAGAAAATAAACTGATTCAGAACTGTTTATATAATATACATCTACAAAATGATCAACACTTCCTTGAGTCCTGTATTTAAATAATATCGGAAAGAAAGTAAAACTTTGCACTTCCCACGCAACACAGTAATCAGCTGAAAATATATTATGTTCGGTACAAGTCCTTTTGAGAAAAAAGTTAGCTATGAAGTCAAGTCAGTCCAATAATCCCATTCAACGTTACGATCTAGATATCTCTCCCCTGCCCTATCTCTCCATCTGGCAACGTTGCTTTGACTAACTTCGGCAGTCGCGGCACGGCAGCCACCCGCCTGTCAGACCGAAGCTCAGGTATATTCAGAATCGCGTTTGTTGGAAATATTTCGTAAAAGGTTTAAGGACCCGTGAATGAGAAAATCTATGTGTAAAATATTTTTTATATAGATATCCTTACGCAAAATAGTGTGATATATCTACGGCAAGTTTTATATGTCTATAATATGAGGATATACTAGCTATAGGTGACTACAGCGCCATCTTTGAGACACTAACTTTCAAAGAGAAAATCAAATTTGTCTTACGGCTTAAGTTCCATGTGTACGAGAGAGAAGAGCGAGAGGTGTGTATCAACACACATGTTAAAAAGAGATAGAGGCTGGCTGAAGAGCGAAGGTCATCACAACATTGCTTAGCAACAG